GGGGAGCCCAGCCGACCTAAGAGATGCCTGTGCCTCAGTTTCCCCATGGGTAAAGAGGCTGCAAAGGGGAGGAAGGGCCGGGGGTGGGTGGGGGTCTCCCTGTGGGGTTTTCTTTAGCAGGGCTGAATGCTGACGGCGGCCCCCGATCCACGGAGGGGGGAGGGACTACAAAGCCCATAAGGGGAGAAGACCCTCCTCTTGGAAGGGGCGGTGAACTAAAGACCTTTGGCTTGCCGGCTGTGGACGATGGGCGTCGTAGTCCCACACGTCCACCTTGACGTCAACTCCCCCCCTCTCCGCCCCCTCCCCCTTATAAAGAACCGCCTTTCGAGACGGGAGGCTCCCACTGGCTGGGGGGACGGGGGAGGTTCTCCCTTCGTTCCCGCGTCGTCACGGCTACCGCCCGTCCTCACCCGAACGCCCCCCGCCCGACCACACGGATCCGCTCGTATTTCTCCATAGGGCGCCGCCGAGGAGTAGGAGTAGTAGGCCGCGGCCAGCGGGCCTCACGTTACCATGGCGACCCTGCCGGGCGCGGCGGCCTACGGTGGCCGGCGGGGGTCAAGCCTCTCCGTTCTCGCGCCGTAAGTCCAGAATAGACTATAGAATAACAGAATAATAGAGTGGGCAGCTGGCTGGGGGATTCTGGGAGTTGAAGTCCACCAGTCTTAAAGTTCCCAAGGTTGGAGACCATTAAGCTACACCATTCTGGTCAAATGGCTTTCCAGTCTCTTCTTAAAAACCTCCTTGGATGGGGCATCCGCAACCAGCAGAGGACTACAATAACAACACCCACCGTGTGGCCCTTCCCCACAGGACGCCTTGCATCCCACATCCCCTTCAGGCAGGAGTATTGAGGGACCGCGGACCTCCCTTGCCCATTTGGCAGGGGAGGATGGGGTTTGACCTTGCTTGTCCCCCCCCCACTCCGTTCTTCCAGGAGGGTAGATGCAAAAAAAATACTTAAGATCTCCTGTGGCTCAGGACTTCCGTTCCTATCATCTCCCGCCAGCAGGCCCAAACGTTTGTGGGGTGCCCACGACTTTAGGCTGATGTGGGCATTTTGTGGCTGTTCCCAAGCTGGGGAAGGGGAGGCACCCCTCTGCAGGGGATGATGGTGGAAGATGGTCTCTGGAGTTCTTCTCCATTGGTGAGGAGGGTTCAGTTCTGGGGGGCGGGGTGTCTGGCTCCCCCATCCCTCCCACTGTGTCCCACCCCAAAACCATTGTCCCCCTCCTCATCAACGGTGGGGCAGGTGCAAAGAAGTCCCATGCCAGCTGGGGAATTCTGGGGGTTGTAGTCCACAAGCCCTAAACCTCCCCAATTGAGCAGTGGGCTGGACTAGAAGACCTCCAGGGTCCTTTCCGTTATTCTGCATCCTGCAAACATAAGGAACGATGTGGCATAAGCTTTGAGGTTCCATGTGGCTTTGCCTGGACCTGCTAAGCCGCCCTGGGCTGCCCTGAGGGACGAGGAAAAGACCAGGAGAGGGGCCTCCTGTCCGTCCCCCCCGGATAAGGGTCTCCAAAGAAGCTTAACAAAAAAAGGGGCAAAGCAGGCTCCATCTCAACTGTTTTAGAAATCGCCGAGATGTGGTAGACATGCGTAGAAGCTATAAGATATTGGACAAAAATACACCCATGGCTGGAAAAAAATGATAAAGCAACACCTAGATTTGAAGCCTGAAATATTTTGTATTAGGGATGAAGGTACCTGAATGTTACAGCAAAGAAAAAAAACATATTTGATTATTCATGTCTTAACAGCAGCTAGGATTGTATTTGCTCAGAATTGCAAAAGCGATAAAGTTCCAGCAGAGCGAAAAGTGATTGAGAAAATATTTGAATGTGCAGAGATGAATAAATTAACATGGGCAATTAAAGAAAAAGAAGAAACGGAATACTATAAAGATACGGGATACATTTTACCAATGGTTGGAAAATAAAACAAATTAAAACTGAGCGGATGAGTATATAGAGAAATAAGTGAATACGGATATAGAGGAGATAAATGTAAGACGTTACGATTTATAAAGGAAATGTGATTATTGTTATCTTGGTAAGAAAAAATACTAAATTGCAACTGTTAGCACAAGATATATGTACCCAGTCGACACACTCTTTGAAGGAAAGATGGATTTATTGTAAATATAAAATAAAAAAAACTTTTTGGGGAAAAAAAATAATCGCTCAGAATTGCTTCACTGAGATGGCCGGTTCGAAAAAGGGAAGAAATAAATTAAATTCCCTGGGCAGAGGAGAGCCAGAAGCAGGGCAAGGCTGCACGAGAGAAAGAAAGAGTTAAAAAAAAAAACAACTCAGAATGGAAGAAAAGGCTGCCTGACGTGGCACCTTCCAGTGCCCACAGCTGGTTGTAGGAGGAGCCGGAAGCAGTCTGGGTGGGCAGAACTGCCAGGAAGTTGGGCTTTAATTGATACCCTGCAGCCTTCCGAGGCCTGCCCTTCTCCCGGTGCAGGTCTAAATTCCCTCTAAAGAGGTCAGGGCAGCTTCTTCTAACCATTCCCCCTGATATTATGGTAAAAAACTCACCATGTTAAGTTTGGGGCTGGACTTCTGGCAAGCAGCAATTAATAGAATTCTTTATTTGGCCAAGTGTGATTTGTCTCCGTTGCATAAGCTCTCAGTGTACATACAAGCAATAAGTAATAATTTTTTTCCCCCCAAATTTTGTTCCTATTGTACTTTATTAATTTATTTGATTCTTTTTTTGTTAGTTTTTATTGGTTGTTTTTTTTAAATATGGTTTTACATTGTGTAAGCTGTCTCGAGTCGCCATGGGCGAATAGGCAGCAAAATAAAAAAATTAATAAATAAATTAAAATAAAATAAATAAGTGATAGATCATGATCCTAGTCATTGTAAAAATACATTCATCATAAAACATTAGATACCACACTTAACGATAGTCATAGGATACCAAGTAAGCAATCAACATAAATACTACTGGGATGCTAATGAAATAATTTAAATTGTAGGATACAAGCAATGAAGTTATAGTCATAAGAAGATACGGTGATAGATAAAATACAGACATTGCCTCTTTTATAATAAGTATATTTTATAGGCATACCTCTTTTCATTTCTGACTTTTTATTGTTGTGAGCTGCCTAGAGTAGTTCCCAACCCTGTTGGCATGATAAGCATCAAACTACTTTAACAAATAAATAAATGATCTGGGAACTTTGGCCTTTCTTTCCTTGGTGCACAGACAGAAGCACGAGGGTTTATTACGGTCAAAACCTCCAAATTTTCTGTGGGAAATACAGGTTGACTTATGACAGGTCTCCAAACTTGGCAACTTGTGGAGTTCAACTCCCAGAATCCAACAGGCAATTTTAAAGACTTGTAGACTTCAACTCCCAGAATTCATAGCTTTCATAGAATTCAGCATAGCTGGCTGGTGAATTCTGGGAATTGAAGTCCACAAGTCTTAAAGTTGCCAAGTTTGAGGACCCCTGAGTCTTACGACTACAATGGAGCCCAAAACTTTTTCATTTATCGACCGTGTCACGATGCAGCAATTCATGTAACAACCGCGGCAAGAAAGGTCATAAAACGGAGCAAAACAAAAGTGACTCAGGACTGTTCTTCACCCTTACGACCGTTTTGCAGCATCTGTCTGACGGTCACAGGATCAAAATTCGGATGCTTGGCAACTGACGCAAGATCCCAGGGTCCCCTGATCCCCTTTTGCGACCTTCTGACAAGCAACAATCCAACGGGGGGGAAGCCAGATTCCCTTAACAACCCTGTGACTCACTTAACGACGGCAAGGATTTCCCTTCACAAGAAGGTCGTAAAACAAGGCAAAACCTCAAGCCCGGCCACCCTTCGCAAACTCCATGAAACCATTTTTCTTGCTTGGCCACAAACCCCGGATTTGGAAGGAAGTTGGGTTGGAGACGACAAGCGGGAATGGCATCCCGGGCGCACAAGCGAGCCAGGATCGCCCTGCAGCGCCCACCCTCCCTCCCTGGATCCCGCGCAGCCTGCCCGTCCGGGGTCCGTCGGAGAAAGGCCGGCGCTGCGCTGCGCTCGACGGCTGCAACGGCTCACCTGCGCTGCCCCGGGGCACGGGCCAGCCGGGCACGGGCCCCGCCCACCTCCCCTGGGGGGGGAGGGAACCACCCCTCCCGGGGGGGCGTGGTCGGGGCGGGGCGTCGGCTCCTCCCCCGCGGGAGTGCACGTGGGCCGGAGCGGAGGGCGAGGCGGCGGCGGCGGCGGCGGCGGCGATGGCCCCGTGGCTGCGCTCGGCCGGGCTGGTGGCCGGCTCGACGCTGGCCTTCGCGGCCCTCCGGTGGGCGCTGAGCCGCTGCCCGCTGCCCGCCCACGTCCGCCGCGAGGCCACGCGCACCTGGCGCTGGAGGAACCTGCTCGTCTCCTTCGCCCACTCCGTGGTGGCCGGGCTCTGGGCCGTCGTCGGGTGAGCGGGGCCCCGAGGGCGCCTCTGGGCATGGGCAGAGCGCCGCCGGGCAAGCGGCTGCCCCCCCCCACCCCCCCACCCGGCTGGGCGCGCGGCGGAGCAACGATCGCCCAGGCTTCGAAGCGGGACCCCCGTCGCCCCTTCACCCAAGGGGGGGGCAGGGCTGGCATCGGCTTGTCTGACGGTTGCCCAGGACCCCCAAAGGAGCTTAATTTGGGGTGGGGGGCGATCTTAGCTCTTCTTCCCAGCTGGGCTCACTTTCTAGAGATGCCTCTTTGCGGGAGTGGGGGGGGGGGGGGGGGGGCGGGGAACCCCGGTTTATGGGGGGGTGGGGAACCGGGGGAGGGGGGGGGGGGTTTTTTTTTTTTTTTTTACTTTCTTCCCCTCCCCTCCCCTCCCCCCTCAAGGGAGGGGTCTTCTCCTCTTTTCTGCTGACACTGTGCTGCTCCCCCTCCCCCCCTCCAGGTTGTGGCAGCTGCCAGGGGCCTTCGATGACCTGGTGGAGACAACCTCCCCTTCGGTTCACCTGTTGCTGTGCTTTTCCACAGGTAAGAAGCCTCTTCAATGGAGGGGGAGGGGGTGTCTCCAAGGGGGGTGGGGTTTCCTAGAAACTCTGTTCGGAGATCTGTCAGAAATAGGGTCTCCCGCTTGGGCAGGGGGTTGGACTAGATGACCTATAAGGTCCCTTCCAATCTCTGATGGTCTGTTATCTGTTTACGGAATGTATCGGCTGCCAAGGGGGCCTGCATAAGCCCACTGACACGCCCACCGTCCCCATTTAATCGTACTCAATTATTATGTATACACTTATACCTGTTTATACTTATATATTTATATATTTGTTTTCTCACACATCCTTGACAAACTGAACTAAATAAACTAAATAGAGGTACTTGTTGCCTTTCACAGCTTTTAATACAGAGGCCTCCAACCTTGGCCACTTTAAGACTGGTGGACTCCCAGCATCCCCCAGCCAGCATAGCATGGGGACCTTGGAGGTCAACTAGCCCAACCCCCTGCTGAAGCAGAAAATCCTGTGCCAGGAGGGTCCAACTTTGGAACTCTAAGACTGGTGAACTTCAACTCCCAGAATCCCCCAGCCAGCAGAGCATAGGGACCTTGGAGGTCAACTAGTCCAACCCCCTGCTGAAGCAGAAGATCCTGTGCCAGGAGGGTCCAACTTTAGAACTTTAAGACTGGTGAACTTCAACTCCCAGCAGAGCTGGCTGAAGAATTCTGGGAGTTGAAGTCCACCAGTCTTAAAGTTACCAAATTTGGGGACCCCTCTTTTAGTACTTAAACCCACCAACCCACTGAAGCCCACCAACTCGTCGTGGCACCACTAAGAAAACCTGCTTTTTGGCGGAGGACCCAAAGTGGGCTTGGGGGGCAAAAGTCCCCCACCCTATACACCCTTCTAGCGTGGCCTTGGAAAGGCAGCGGGGTCTGGGGGGGGGGGGTTTGCTGAGAAAGGCCCACATACGATCTGCTGTTCCGGGCACAAAATGTTGTTTTAGCTTTGGAAAGTTGCTGTGGAGCAGAACACAATGGGGGCATTAAAAGCTTTTGTACAGTTGCGTTGTTCGTCCCACTCCCCTCCAGAGAGCTGCCCTATTCCTCCCTCTGCCCCCCCCCCAAGCTTCACTTTTTACAATGACAATGCGAATTCCTGGGTATTTTGGGGGGGGGGCTACGTGGGGGGGGGCTTTTAGCACAGCTGGGAGATCAGGCTGGACCGAATTCTGTGCGGAAGATGGAGAGGGAGGGGGGAAGTGGACTTCCTTGTCCTCCCCTGGGTGCAGCCAGGTGAAACCGGGGGGGGGGTTTGAGACACGGGCTTGGAGGAATGGCTGGAGACCCTCAGCTAAGAAGTAGGTACAGGGACCCCCAGCTTGACAACTTTAAGACTTGTGGACTTCAACTCCCAGAATTCACCAGTCAACTATGCTGAAGTCTATGAAATGTTATGAAAGCTATGAATTCTGGGAGTTGAAGTCCACAAGTCTTAAAAGTCGCCTGTTGGATTCTGGGAGTTGAAGTCCAGAAGTCTTAAAAATTGGCTGGTGGATTCTGGGAGTTGAAGTCCAGAAGTCTTAAAAGTTGCCGAGGTTGGGGACCCCTGAAGTAGGAGACCCGAGTTCGAGCCAAGTGGTGATTTAGGGGCCCCTGCCTCTTGTGTAACCCAGGAAGAAGGGAGAGTAAATCATTTCTGAAAAACACAGTCAAGAAAACTTCATGGACTTATTCTTGAGGCACTGGCCCTGAGTTCGGATTGCGACAGATGAAAAGAGAGAGAGAGGGAGGGAGAGGGAGAGGGAGAATGCCCGAAGGGGAAGGCAAGGAAACAGGTTCCTGGTTGAACGACACTTGAGTGACAGGCGATTTGGGGATGGCTGGCTGGGCCCCAGCTGGTTCTACTGGTTCTGTACCAGAAGCTGCCCTGCA